GGGGAGAAGGGCGTTAGCTCAGTTTTGTCTCAAGCAGGACTTCGGAGAAGGTGACTTTGGTTGGAATCCTCAGGGGGCATATGTTACGTTCCGTGTTTTCTTTTCGTGTCGTTTTAGGATACATTTTGTTGTTATTACTTGATTCCCCTGTTTACGTGACTAGTTTCTTTTGGTTTATTGTTGTTCTTAATATAATGGATATTATTAATTGCCATTTGCTGGAAATTTCCCCCTACAATATCTGCTGTGAAGGTGATCCATGTACGTCCCTTCAATCAAAGATATTGAACTGACTCAAGAGTTCACAAACGTACCAAGAACGAATAATACTCTCTCCTCCCATCGCTCTCTTTCTCTCTTTCTATTTATTCCACACACAGACATACACACACATACACACATACACACATACACAAACACACACACAAACACACATACACACATACACACGTACACACACATACACATACACACAGACTCGCTCACAAAACGCACTGTAAGGTCCCTGCTGGTCACACTGACTCTACGCATTCCAATCGCTCGCCATCGTTCTTGTCGAGGCAATCTTGGCATGATAAAATTAACACAGATGTTCAAACAAATTAAAACGGATCCTGTTCTTTTGCTTCGCAGAAGTTTCTTTCCCAGTGTATTATTGTGTCAGATGATGCAGCATTTATTTAGCTTTAAATTTGTATGCTGTATAAGGTTTTGCGAGGCTATAAACACGATGATTGGGTGATTTATTTTTCAAATTTATTTTGGACACCACTGTAACACGTTAACATGAAGCGTTTCAAATTCTCTTGTGAAATGCCAGGTGATTTATATATCAATAATGAAACAAATGAAAAATGAATTATAACAGTTGGCCACAAATTCGGGGTAAACATCAGTCGCTTGCACTGGTGTTTTCAGACTGAAGGGAACTCATGGTTTTAATGCGCTTTTATTGTGTGCTTGTATATGTACCTGGGATTTTGTTTCGTTCTTTATACTTACCCCTCCCTTTCCACAACAACCTCAAACACGCACACACACACACACACACACACACACACACAAAC